CACCCTGTGGAAATTATATTTTTCTATTTTAGTTTGTAAGTTAGTTATCCTCCCACCCTCCCCGTTAGGTGCCCATGATAGGATTTCTGGTTAGGCTGCGTGAAGTTAGGTTTTGTGTAGGTTTAGGAGGGTTTAGTTTTAAGTATTTCTGTGTGTGTCTTTTTTTATGCCACAGGGTGTAACTTGACAGGGTTCGGTCGGCACAACAGTGAAATCAGTGCGAGAGAGAGAGAGAGAGGAATAAAAAGAACTTTGACAGTCTTTCTCTGTGAATAACTCGCATTGGAGGGACAAAGATCCAATAAAGCAAAACTTCATTTTGCTTTCACCCGCCTTTCAATTCAATGTTGAAAGATAATGAACTGGTACATATAAAACAGACATTAAAATTTATGATGACATCATATGCTTGTGTGTATTGCGCTGCGTTTTCAATTTGATGACATGTTATGTTTGTTTGTGTGTATTGTGCTGTGTATTCAATTTATAAAATGTTAAAATGAGGAAACGCTTAAGGTGAGTCAATAAAATATACTCCAGCTTCTGCATAAAAGAAGACATCGATTGTCATCATGAAGAAGTGCACAAGGTAAGTCAAAACTTCTGCAGCTTCAGCAACGGAGAAGACAACGTTTGTCTTAATGAAAGGCATTAGGTGAGTCGATAATATAAGGGTTTTACATCGTTACGTCTCGAGAAACACACGTGAATTTGTGACGATTATATTTCACGTGTCAGTAAAAGTCGCCGATTGTTGTCGGAATTTGGATTTTACGCGACAAAAAATTAACCGCCGTAAAAGTAACTTCTCTTTGGAAAAGGAATATGTTGTATTCGGTTTAAATTGAGTATATTAATGTTGGCTAATTGTGTAAATAGCCGCTAGGCTGTGCGACAGAGAATAAGATTTCATTTTACGATGACGTATTCTGTCCATGAGCCGGAACATCTCCCATTTGACCGTGTTGCTGTGTTTTCGTTTCGTTTTGAAAGGAGCCTCTTTCTAACGCAATAAATGTGAGTTGATTTTTCGAGAGAAGCCGTCAACGATTTGTTTTTTACGGCGAGTGCTCAAGACTTAAATGAAAACTGGAAGATTTACTTCGTTATGTCGTTTATTTTTATTTCTGCACCAAACGGCGCACGTTTTTCTAACAGTTTAATCGTGTTGTCCATTTTAACGGGGACAACTGCAGTGAACAAATGGTACACTCAATTGCACGCCTTTCACGACCGAAGATATTAAAACGTACAGCATATTGTCTGAAGAGCTTTATATTTAAAAGAAGATGTGTTACAGAAGAAATGGCAAGAGTACCAACAGCAGAGGTAAGCTTGTGTGTTCATTCTGTTAGTGCAATATCCGTTTCCTGGTGCTCATATTGAAGTTTTTTTTTTGTTTGTTTCTTTTGTTTCAGGTCCCGCTCATATCCTGTGCCTCAAAGTGGCGAGCGGGTGAAACAAAGAACGATGCAGTTATTCGCAAACTTCCTTGACAATTCCTACATTTCTGTTAGTTTCTTCGTGTTTGTCTGCCTTCTTCATATTTTTTTAACAAACTTGGTAATTCAAATCAATTTTAGGTACGCAGCTACCAGTTTATATTCAGCTCAGTTCAATTCAGTATGAACGTAATACATTACACGTGACCATAGAGCATGTCCGTGCGCCTGCACTTGCTCTGTTTGGGCACTAATAGCCGATATTTTGAACATCTCCAATAACAACGGCCCGGTGGCACTTCTGTACTATAATTTCCGCTTGCTATAGTCTTTTCCTGATGTGCTATAAATGAAAGCACGAAACTTATAATGATAATAATAATAATTCAAGTCAATTTTTTATTTTTTATGTGCAGAATCAACAGTCGCAAGGCCAATTACAGACAGAGTACAATGTAGATACAAGTAATTACAATGTGGATAAACACAATATAAAGGCAAAGACAAACTGCAGGCAAACACTGGGGAAAACACAATAATGCAGAAAAGTAAACAGATAAACAAATGATAATAATAGCAATAATAATAATTTCATTAACATAAATCTACGTGTTATTAAGAAGTGAGAAATGAAATAATAATAATAATAATCGTTATCATCAACATCATCATTTTCATCATCATCATCGGCGAAACAGTCGTGTTTGAGCCGTAGCCTTCCTTAGAGGATTCTGCCATATTGCATCCGGTCATCGCTCCTTTGGATTTCGAATTCTTTTTACAGAGCAAAATCGTCTAATATAGTGATCGCATCAATTTTTTTTTCATAGAGACCTTAAACAAGTTATTATGCCTATGCGTGACGTCAGTCTGCTGTAAACATGCACCCCTTCCGAAGGATTTTCCAAGGGAAGTGGGCAGGCAAAAAATTTGTTTCCGAGCTCTTAAAATAAGCTGGTGTATTGGCAGTTTCCTTCCTTTCTTCAGTCTTGATTTTTTAAATCATTGGGGGGCTGCAAATATTTAGTTTTCCTTCCCTCGTCCTGTCGTCCATGACTGTAAATTGAGCAGATTATCAAGTTCATGGCGATAGCAGGACATGGAACAAGAATTTTCGTGGTACTCAATTACACGTACATAGTATTTATTGTTTCAATGCTAGTGATTTTCTCGAAATGACCGAACTTTATACAAATGTTATATAAGATATTGTGGAGCCGTGTTAGCTCAGTTGTTATAGCGACTGGCTACGGGCTGGACTACTGAGAGGTCGTAGTTCGAGTCCCGTAGAATCAAGAATTTTCTCTCCTCCATGTCGTCCAGACCGGCTCTGGGTCCACCCAACCTCCTATCCAATGGGTACCGGGGGTAAAGAGGCCGGGGCATGAAGCTGACCACTCACCTCCAACTAGTGCCGAGGTCAAGAAAATGTGGATCTATACATCCACTCCCCCATACGCCTTGATGGCGTAGTGCTTAATTTGTTAAACACAGGGACAACTTTACCCTATATAAAATATTGCATACATAGTTTATTCGATAAATCATTTTATCATTTGAACACTTGATGTAAACATTGCAAAATATGTTCAAGTCTTTCAGTAATGAGGGGCTTAAAATCAACTTAAGTCTACAGAGCCGTACACAGTCACACTCGAATAATACACATATAAGAACATGGATAAATTCTCTTCAAAATCTGTCAAAGAACCGAAGTTACACTTTAATGCTAATTTATGCCCTAAAGAAATGAAGGAATTACACCGGAATAAAATAATATCTTGACAACATTTTATATTGATCCGTGAAACCCTTGATTAACACAGGAAAGGAAATGTGAGCGCTGATGGATGGACATGGGGAATGCATCGTTCTTTGGCTAAACAGGATAAATGCTAACTTTAATTGTTCTTTGGTAAATATATTCCTTGTGCATGACCATCACTATTGAATTTCAGCTGTTCCAGAAGTTCTCTTTTTAGAACCTGAAGGATCCTCATTCATCACCAAATCCCACCATTACATTCTATAACAAGTGCAGGAATATTAAATTAATTCTTGCAGCTCCCAGCTCAAGTTTCAGTCCATTATGTCACTGTTGCATTTAGGTAGCGCTCGATGTGTCCTCTCTAAATTCTGTCCTTTAGAGATTCCACGAACATCGTCCTTGCTTGGTACTTTACAACCTTGTCCCTTGCGGTGGTAATGATCAAATTCTGGCAGAATTAATTCAAGCAGGATGTAAAATATTATGTTCTAAGATCCGTAAGCTAATTAATTCTATTTGGAACAAGGACAAATTTTTGATCAGTAAAAGGAGTTGATTATTGTACCAGTTCACAAGAAGGATGGTAAAACTGACTGTAGTAATTATCATGGGATATCTCTGCTATCAACTTCATACGAAATTTTGTTCAATATTCTGTTCTCAAGGTTAAGTCTGTATATAGATGAAATTACTGGGGATCATCAGGGTGGGTTTTGATGCAACAGACCAACTACAGATCAGATCTTTTTGCATTCGTAAGATACTTGAGAAATGGGAGTACAATGAGACAGTAAATCATCTATTCAGAGACTTCAAGAAAGTCCATATTGGTAAACATTTGTCTGATAATTTTCCTATTCAGAATGGTCCAAAACAAGGAGATGCTTTATCCCCACTGCTTTGCAACTTTGTATGCCATTAGGAAAGTTCAGGAAAACCAGGTGGGATGGTAATTAAATGGGGCACATCAGCTGTTGATCTATGCTGATGATGTGAATCAACTAAGGGATAATGTAGATACCATAAAGAAAAACATACACATTTTAATTGACACTAGTAAATAGGCTGGTCTAGAGGTAAACACAGAGAAAACTGAGTATATGTTGCTGTCTCATCACCAGAATGCAGGGCAAAATTATGACATAAATATAGGTAACAGATGTTTTGAAAATGTGGCACAGTTCAGATATGTGGGAATGACTATAACAAATCAAAACCTGATTCAGGAGGAAATTAAGAGGAGATTGAATTTGGGTAATGCTTGCTACCATTCAGTCCAGAAGCTTTTTTTTTCTTGTCGGCTGTCTAAAAACATAAAAATTAGAATATACAAAAGTACAATTTTGCCTGTGGTTCTGTATGGGTTTGAAGCTAAGTCTCTGACATTTAGGGAAGAACATAGACTGAAGGTGTTTGAGAACAGGATATTGAGAATATTTGGACCGAAGAGAGATAAAGTGACAGGAGGTTGGAGAAAACTGCATAATGAGAAGGGTCATAACTTGTACTCTTCTCCAATTGTAATTAGAATGATGAAGTCAAGGATGATGAGGTGGTCAGGGCACATAGGAGGAATGGGGGAGAGGAGAAATGCGTATAGGATATTGGTGCGAAAACCAGAAGGAAAGAGACCACTAGGAAGACCAAGACATGTGGGTGGACAATATTGAAATGGATCTTACAGAGATAGGATGGGATGGTATGGATTGGAATGATCTGGCTCAGGATAGGGACCAGTGGAGGGCTCTTGTGAACACGGTATTGAACCTTCGGGTTCCATAAAATGCTGGGAAATTTTTGAGTAGCTGCACAATTGGTGTCTTCTCAACAAGAGTTCAGCTCCATGAGTGACTAATGAATGAGCACCATCAGAGTAACTGTGGCCAAATGCATGAGGTTCAACATCGGGACACTCATAGATGACAGTGAAGTCGGAAGGCGTCACATGCCTTCAGCGAATCCAGTGTTCAGTTTAGACACCTACTGGCAATCGCTGTGTGTGTATGGTCGTGTAGGTCGTGTACGTGATAACAATAAATTGTAGGATGGGAATTGTGTACAAAGATGGAGGTGTTGTAGAGCTTGTAGAGTATTGTCTCGGATGGATCGCTTTTTTTATATGCTTACGTTTAATTTTAATTTAACAAATTGATTTTAAAAGTTTGATGTATCGTAGGGCGAATTTTAAACATAGGATTTTATACGTACAGGTTGAAGCAGAGCAAAAACAAACTGTAATATAGGTTATGTTGTTCAAGATGGAGTCCAGCGTGAATGACGCTTATGTCAAACAACATTTAGAATTTAGTCGTGCATGTCGATGCGATGATCGTACTTTAGGACAAGGCAGTAGTGACGAAGGTGACCAGTTACTGGCCAAGGGCCAAGATATGGGTCCATCATCAACTAAGTTGGACGTTGCTGACAGTTGTGAAGGAATATTATATTATGCTGTTTACATACCAAATGACGCCAACGTCAATGAATCCGATGGTACGTAGTGTATATTAAATATAAAATAAAATTATTTTAGTTAGTTAATACATTTCGAACTGTCAAGTTCCCATCCAACGTTAGTTATTTCCATTTGACAGAATTATATAGCTCCTGTATTTTCATCAAAATTATTCCGATTCTTGTTTCAGAAGCTCTGCATGTCTATACCGACAAATCAGAAGCAATGAAAATTGTAAAGAAGCACAAAAAAGCAATGTTTAAATTGTTTGCAATAAGAGAGGAGGCTGTGGAATTTGCAGTTCATGGATCTGAAATTTTACCTTTCACTTCTCCTGGATTATCTGAAAATTTAGAAACCAGCAATCCTGCAATAGGAGAAAAGCCAAGTCCTTTCAAAGGACCTAAAGCACAGGATTTGGTTCGCCTGAGGAAAGTGATTGAATGCGGAAATATTTGCACATTTAGAACTACTGTCTGGGATAATCCTCGATATCTTATCAGCAGCGGGGATACACCAGCCATTCTTCAGGTGTGCAGTTTGCTTTAATTTGTAATTAGTTTTGAAGCATGTGTGTTGACATTAAGTGGAATTCTTAAGATGGCAATATGCCACCTCCTTTCACTAGTTTCTTGCTTGGCTTACTCTTAAACCCTCCAAAACACTGGGCTTTCCCGGTGTTACAACCCAGAAGACTGTACTTTTCAGTCTTGGCTAAAGTTTCCAGTTTTCTCTTTTACTGGCTTATTGAATGTAGAATGTTGGGTGTTGTTTTAGGATTTTATATATTAATCATTCTCTGTAATTTTTTTCATGTAATCCCAGAAGGACAGATCATTAATTTGCAGACTGAGTAGTCCCAAGCTTGTAATTAATTTGTTATCAATCAGTAAATTACATCTGTTTTTCATTGTTTTGCTTAGCATATGTTTAATTTTGCAAATAAATGATTACATATGCATAAAGCTATATGATGACAGATTACTTATAAGTGTCTCTCACAGTATTTTGGCATTACACTTTTGACCAGCGATGCCAGTAGTTTTGCTAACAAGGTTGAAACAGTTGTAATATTTGGACATACTTTTACTTGAGTATGATTGTTTCTTGTTGTCTTCAGTAAGAGCTGTTTTCCTGTAACACCAGGTGTTAGTATGTGGTGCTGTGGTGGTGGTGGTGATGGTGGTGGTGGTGGTGGTGGTGGTGGTGGCTGAATGTGTCCACATATTGCATGTCTGTTTTATGCGTGCTTTCTGTAATCATGGCTGTTTCATACTTTGTATGTTTGAAGTACCATACTAAAGCTATGTTTTGAGAGGCTAGTGTCATGTAAGAACTGTATTCTCCTTTTTGTGTCTTGGGAAAGATAATGAAATACTCGTATACTAGAGTGCTCTTGTTATTGTATTACATTTTCTTTATATGATGTGTGCATCATAATCCAAGGAAATTTGAAGCCTGTCTAAAACATTTTCTTTATACACATTATTTTTATTCCATTGATGAATATCTTCAATTTAAGGCTATTGCAAGTCAATGACATACCAAAGAATTTATATATAGTTTAATAAATTATGTTTATTGTCACCAAGTTTTAAAACTATTAGTAACAGAACTTTTTATATTTCTGTCATCATTTTATTTTATTCTATTTTTTGGCTTATTTGTCCTTTACATATGTACCACTTGACGTGTTCCATATCCTACCTGTTGTACTGTGGATCTATGGAATGTAAAATAAATGAATGAATATTTATGTTTTACTCTGACTTGTCAGTTATGATTATCGTATGAAAATGACATATCAGGACAGTGACCAGATAGGATGGCGAGAAGTAGAGTAAAAGAGGTGGGTAGAGGATGGTAAGAAGTTGAAGAGGGCAAGAAATAGTTCTAACAGCCAGCAGTTATAGAAAATAGAATGTTAGTGTTCCAATATGTGGTGCTACTTGGTCATGCAGTTGCATGATAAAGTGGTTCAGGTCTTTGTCACTCTTTTGTAAGTTTGTTCCTTTTTCTGAAACACATTATTGAAAATGAACATTTTTCTGTGGTCTAGTAGTCAGAGTTCCTGTTAGATCCATAGGTCCGGGTTCGATGCCCAGCACTACCAGATTTTCTGAGAAGTAGTGGGTCTAGAACGGGGTCCACTCATCCTCGTGAGGATAACTGAGGAGCTATTTCAAGGAAATAGCAGATCCAGTCTAGAAAACCGAGTTTAACGGCCGTGGGGATTCATTGTGCTGACTGCGTGACACCCTCTATCCACAAAAGTTGGCGCTACCTTCACTAACAAGTGGCAGTTGCTCTGTCGGTATAGTTTGCTTGCAGACTAGAACCACGGGGTTTGTTTTTTGTTGTTTTAAATGTCTTCTCTTGAGAGATCCAGATGTGCAACAGGAAAGTGCTCACATAACCTCTTTAAAATTTGTATGGACTCTTCCAGTTTTCTTTATACTGGTTGGAACTCAGGGGCTGGGATGGCTCAGTAGAGTAGTAAGCTGTGGGCTCGTTGGTTGGGCTTTGATTCCCGGCAGGTGCGAGAGATTTTTCTCTACTTCACAGTGTCCAGACTAGCTGTGGGGTCCACCAAGCTTCCTATTGGATGGGTACTGGATGCTCTTTCCCCAAGGGTAAATTGGCCAGGGCATGAAGCTGACTGCTCGCCTCCATCTAGTGCAGAGGTTAAGAATGGTGGAGCTATACCTCCCCTGCCCTCTACATCTTCATGGCCTGGTGCTTAATTGTTTAAGCACAGAAACAGCTTTGGCTCTACACCTTTACTGTTACGAGCTCTGTTTTCTGTGGATGTAATGGGTTTCACATCTTATTCCAGCAGAAAACACTAGTACCTGAAGAACTATATTGGACTCTTATTTGTTTCTTCTTTGTTTATTTAAAAACATTTTATAATAACTTAATAATCTTATCAATTATTATTCATTTTGCTTGATGAACATGTGCTAGTGGTAGGAGTAGTGGCAGCCTTGAGGATTATTATTATTATCATCATCATCATTATCATTATTCAGTTTTCTCGAACCTGCCATTTCATCCCTCTTTAAGAAAAAATTCCGTGGCTTTATTCTCCAAGTGAACTATACCAACAGAATGACTGCTGCTTGTTGGCGAAGTTAGTGCCAACTTTAGTGGATAGAGGGTGTCTCGTGATCAGCGCAATGAATCTTCACAGCTGTTATTTTCGGTTTTCTAGACTGGAGCTGCTACTATTCCATTCAAGTAGCTCCTCTGTTATCCCCACGAGGCTGAGTGGACCCTGTTCCAGAACCACTAATTCTCAGAAAATCTGGTAGCCCTGGGAATCAAACCCAGGACCTCTGGATCTGTAGCCAGGAACTCTGACCACTAGACCACAGAGGCGGTCTATTTCATCCCTCTTTGGTTCAAATAATTACTTCACATATGATTACATATTTTACTGTTTCCCCTTTACAGGAAGGTTCCCGCTATAATGCATTGCATGTAGCTGCCAAAGCCAGTAATGCAGAAATATGCAGTCTGATTCTACAGACAGTTAGCAATGTTGCATTTATACAGCTGCTGTATGGGGATGATGATTCTGCTAGCTGTCAAGACCGAGCACATATCCTATTGGATCTGTACCTGAATACTCCTGATAAGGCCCTCAATGAGACTCCACTGCATTTTGCAGTTAAATTTGGAGCGGTCCTGGTTGTGGATGTATTGGTGTCTTATCCACAGTGTGATAAACATGCAAAAAATAAATTTGGACAAACACCAAGAGATGTAAGTAACATGTATCTTCATTTTCATAATATCTTAATTAGCAACATGTAACAGAAAGCATCCAGTAGTATTCTTTGCACTCTTCCTTTCAGAGAACATATCCACAGTGGTCTTTAGCAGTACAGCTTGTCCTGATGATTTTTGCAGCTGGACTTCAATTTATCATTTCAGCTTTCAAGAATAAGCCACGTAGAATATTCTTGTGCATTGCACATTATTGTATATGGCCTTCTGAAAGTAGAAGTTATACATTTAGCAGGACTATGTTACAAAATATCGTGTTCATGTTAATCTTTGCAAGACTTGTAGACCATAAGCTGGTCTCCATATTATTACTGTGGATTACCCTGTAGGAAACATGCAAAATCAATATTTTATTTGACATACCTGTTGAGGCACTATGCTACAAGCTGGAAGGCCGTGGATTCAAGTCCCAGTGAGGTCATTGGATTTTTTCAGTTGACCTAATTGTTCCGGCCACACTATGGCCCTGGGGTCGACTCAGCCTCTAACAGAAATGAGTACCAGGAATTAATTAAATAATTTTCCTGGGGAGTGAATCGTGGCCAGCGCGTAAGGCTGACAACCTTTACCGCCATCTTTGAACCGATTGTCTAGATAATGTGGGATCCTCAACGTCTCACAACCCTACGGGCCTTCACGGCCTGTTACAGGGATAGTTTTTTTTTATTTATTTATTTTTTATTTTGGAGAATATATATAATATAATAATAAGATTCCCAACACCTTTGTTTGCCACAGATACGGTGTGGTAGGTTTCAAAACAGTCCTACATCACAGTCTTTACACTTGTACTCTCGTCTTTATTCCCCAAGTTAAACAGATATGGCAGAACAGTCTGGAGGATTAGACTAAGCAATGATTACTGAAGTTTACAACAAACCAAATAACTTGTTTCTCCAAAATGATTGGTCTGCCCATGGGCCGACGTAGGCAATGTAAACTTCCGGCCTTCTCAGTCAGATTCCGTACAAAGTCAAGTCTGAATTGTCTGTGAGCCATTCTAACATCACACAAAGTCAGGAGGAGGAAACTCTTCAGAATTCTCAAGCAAGTGAATATATAATTTCTTTGTCCACTTCATTGTCTGGCCTTGTATTGTATAACTGTTTGCACTTCTGTCCTGTTTGTCTTCATACCCCATATGTCAGTTTTAGTCCTGTATGATTCTTGGCTTTGTACCTTTTTCATTCTTGTTCCAGAAGTTACCATTTATTGGTGGGTTTGTGCATATTTATGCATCATGTTTGTCTCTCAGACCATTGCTGTCAGTCATCTCTTGTCCTGGAATGAATATCGCCTGGTTTCAGTCATTTGTTTCATGGTGGCAGAGTCTGTGGCATGCCATTTCTGTTAGATCTCACTGTCCCGCAACAATTGATTTCCTGTTTTGTCAGATCATCCAGTAAGTTGGGTGATGAAGAGAAACCTATATATAGCTCAGGTGCATTTCGTTCCATTATTTTTCTCAGTTGTTTCATTTTTGCATGTGTTGCTGTTGTGTCTCTGGTCACACATGTCCTGACCTTTCCTAAATAGATGACCATGTCATAATTGTAATGAGACATGTCACATAATTTATAAATTTTTATTCCAAAACATTTGTGTTTCTTGGGTATGTATTGTTTGAAAATTACCCACCCCTTGAAGGATACTATAACTCTGTCCACAACCAGATGTTCAGATGGAGCATAATATTTTGGATATGTGTCATTGAGCATGTCAGAAATTTGTCTTTATTTTCCTTAGTGTGTCATAGTGAATGTGAAGAAATCTGTCACATCTCATTGTTTTTCCATAGAAAGGCGAAAAGAACTGTTGAGTAGTTGACAGCAGCCTTCCAGGTTGTCACACATACAAGGGAGAGTCAGTAAATAGGCCACAAATGGAAGTAAAACAGCTGTAATGGACATAATAGGTTTTCTGTGTGTATCACTAGGTAGCAGCACAGTGCAGCTTCATGACAGTATAGGTAACAGACATAATATTGTTCCTGTGGTACTTCTCTTACTTATGATTTTTCCATTTTTTTTAGGTTATCTGTAGTCGTGTTTCTTCTCCAGATGCAGGTTTAAGACGGGAACTCTCCAATTTATTGGCTGACAGGTTCTATGTTCCTGTACTGAGGTCAGAGGATAATTCCATCCAACCCACTGTGGGCGAACCTTTCTCTCAAGAATGCCCTCTGGTTGGTAGCAATTTGCTTGTGCACAGATACACATACATAGCCATTATACAGGGTGTTTCACGAGTTTAGGGCATAACTGCAGGAGGTGATTTCCTAGGTCTTTGTCATGAAAAAAGTACATATAAACATGTTTCCGATTTTGGACGGTTACGGAGTTAGACCGTTTTTTATTCCTGTACGTGCCCCGTGTGAACCGCGTCTGTCAGCTGGTGGGTCGCTATTTTTAGCCAGCTACAGACAGAGCGTTCTCGTTATCTTGACACTTGAGAGCTACCTGAGGCTGGTATGTCCGGGGCGGTTCACAACCGAGTGGCAGCATGTGTTGCAGCCAGCGGTGGCATTTCCAAAAATCAGCTTTAAGCACCAGTAAATTCAAATTAAAGGTAATTTCACGAAGTTAACTTTACATTCATACTTTAAATGTATCATATATTATGCTGGTTTATTATTTTATTCCGTTTATTGTCAGTAATCGTTACCTTCTATTCTGAGTTTAAAACGGTCATAACTCCGTAACCGTCCAAAATCGGACACATGTTTATATGAACTTTTTTGATCACAAAGACCTAGGAAATCACCTCCTGCAGTTATGCCCTAAAGTCGTGAAACGTCCTGTATAGGAACCTGTTTGAAAAATGTTTTACTCGAGAAATTTGTCTACACACACATGCATTAAAACATAGAAGCACAAATAAAAGTTCAGGTTGTAAAGTAGAGCCGTGGCAGTACAGGCTGTGTGAAGCATAGCATTTGCAACAGGGATATTCGAAGTTATTTCTCAGTCACAGTGTCCAGAGACGGAACGCTTGCCATTGTGCACATACTAGGGATTTTACACATCCCATATCTAGTGTTCTGTTTGTATTGAGTAATGACATGGGGTGACAACCTCTAGTCACCCCAAGCACCACTGGGTTTATTGTGCATCTGAGTTATCATTATGGCCCTTGAAAAGAGACCTGCCCACCGTGCCAAGCCCAGACCCTTTCTGATTTGATACTTTAGTAATATCTGTGCTGCTCTACCAATGCAGAGCCAGAGATCTTTAAAAATATTTTAAAAATTTGCATAATATATTTAACACTTAATAAATCTTGATATATGGTATACTTTTATATTTTATCTTTTATCTAATTTTGTATCTTCTACTTTAATTGTAACACCAACTTGAGGCAAATTTTATGTTAGTATATAATACTATGCTGGTCACGGTAGCCGAGTGGTCTAAGGCGTGCGCTTACTTCGCTCGCTCGGAAGCTGGGATTGTGGGTTCGAATCCCACTCAGGACATGGATGTTTGTGTGCGTTTTTCTGTGTTTGTGTACAGGTAGAGGCCTTGCGATGAGCTGATCACCCGCCCAAGGAGTCCTACCGACCGTGTAAGATCTAGAAAAACCGAAGTGAACGGAGAAGTTCATGGAGGTAGGCCTAGGCCCACTGGGGCTGTAGTGCCAAGGGAAAAAAAATATACAGTACTACATGTTGCACTGGTATGGATCCATATCAGTAGTTCAGTAACTATATGTATTCCTATATTTAACTGCTTCCTCTCACAACATTAGTGATGTCACTCTTTTGGCCTTAATTTTTGTATATCTTCTATCTTCTTGATACATTTCCTATCCTTTTACTTTTGGGTTGCTCACCACAGATTGTTAATGCAAAGTAGGGCCAAGCAAGCATGAAGAAGGAGATGTTCTAGGATGAGGAAAAACAGCCAGTTTCTTCCATGTCCAACGCTTCTGCAGCACATATGCCTTAATAAGCAATGAATTCCATAATGTGATGTGAAGCTGTATGTGATAGTGTTGTAGTAGCTATGGTCACAAAATATACTGGGACTTATGTGTACATAAACAGTACCACATAACATGTTCATAGATATTAAGCTGGGACAATTATGCGTCAATGATCGAGTCAAATTTGTGGTATTAATTTAGAGAAATTCAAGCATTTGTAATGAAAGCTATGTTTCTCCCAGTTGTGAAATTAATATTAAGTGCTTACTGCCATTCTATCTATACTGTCAACTCCCTTACTCAGCAAGTAAGTCAGTGAAAATTACACAATATGAATTTATTTAAGTTAAAGTTCAAATTGTACAGTCCCAAGCATTTCTTATTGACATGCTTTTACGAAATATGCTAAAATCATCCTTTGTACCATAGGCATTAAAAGCCGATCCAGTTAATCCAAGAATGGAAATCTGGGCTTATGCAGGGCCAATGAATCGTGAGAAAGCAGTAGTCTTCCGGAAAAAATGGAAAACTCCTCCACGGATGCCTTGGACTCCAACCCACAGCACCAGCAAACAGGCATATGTAGGGAGTCCCAGATGTCATGCATTTAGACTGCAAGATGTTGAGAAAGGATTGGAGAGAGCTGGCAGGTGGGAGTTAGGAAGCTTCTCATTCTTTCTGAGTGATTCATTTTGTGTTTGAAATGTTAAGTTTTCCTGATGGTGGAAATTAAGATTGTGGTCTTTTGGGTTGTGATACCATGGCACAAGTTTTTGGGTTACACCTTGAAAGTTACCCATTGGGGACTGCACTGATCTGTGTTTTCATTGATCTGCTCACTTTCCAACTTGACATCTGCTCTGAGAATGGCTGCAGCAGGTTCTTCCAAGATTACATTTCACAGTGACATAATTCAGAAAACCATTATTTCAGTTTGTGTTCTTCCCTTGTTATTGTGGTAAGAATTTTATAAACATGCTGTCTATCAAGAATAGGCTTCACCTTTGTCAGGTGTATATATCACACACATATAGCATAGGTCTACATGGTTATGGGGAATGCCTTTTCTACATGGGGAGTGGTCAGTCTGATAAAAGTGATTGTGGAATGAAGAACCTCTCATGAGGGTTTTCATATGTCTCGGAGAGCAGAGCCATACATATATGTAAACCTTGCAGCTGTGTACTGAGCTCATAGCTCATATTGAAACATATATATATATATGAAACTGAACATACGAGGGGGGACACAAAAATAACCGGAACCGACCTGTTGCGCACGCATGCTTTGTAGTTATGAGTTGTGCTGCTAGGTGGTGTTAGCTGGGGGTCTCCCACGACTGTTAGTGAGCTGGCATCAATCTGAGTTAAGTGATTTGTCTGTGGTGCTCTGTTGTGTGCGTTCCTGTTTCAACCCTTTGGCGATTAGTGAGATGGCCGACCAGAAGGAACAAAGAGTGTGCGTGAAATTTTGCTTCTTGAAGAGTGAAGTGCAGAACA